TCAACATGTAAAAGGGGCGTCCTTATTATTGCAGAAAGGCGTTCGAGACCCAAGAGGCCCTGCAAGTTCATGTGGCATGTGCCCACATCCCTAGTGAAAGATGCGGAGTATTCAGGTGCCGGGCCAGCATTTGCCCGAATGAGGCTGAGGCTCTGCAGCTCCAGAGACTGAGGGGTCATGTGTACTCACCTGTGGGAGGCACCCAGCCTTGCCGCAAGAGGCCACGGACCATTGTGAGGACCATCAAGGTGGAGACGGACACGGCGTCGAGCCACGCCATGTCGCCAGCACCAGGGTGCAGCCAAGCACCGGAGGAGAAAAAGAAGGAAGAGGCCTTGGACCAACTCAACGGGTCACCCGCGGCAACGGGTTCGACGGATACTGCGCCCGAGACTCAGCAGTTGGAAGATACTACAGAGCATGTCCAGAAGTGGCTGGACGGGGTCGAAAATGGACTGAAGGCTCAGAATAATTCCAGCCCTTTTCTTTTGTCAGTGGGTAGCCTAGAGAGTTTGAACTTCTCCCTAGGAATCTGAAGCCTTAGACTTGACTTAAGTGCTAGGATTGGAGATACCTCAAGAGACTTTTGGACTTTGCGAATGTAATATCTTTTGCATCATTGCAATATATATTTTATCAACTCAATACTTAGCAGTGTTCTACAAACAAGACCCTTTAAAGTGGTTCATCACACGAACGAGTGGATTAATTCTCAGTTCTTATAAAAGTTTAAATTGACATAAAAGTTTAGAATGTATAAAAATGCATAATGATGATTTTACATGTAAACTTATAAATTGGATCTACATAACCTACTAATGTCTGTTGACCAATGAACCGTGATCTCTACTGAAAATTGATAAGTTGAATAGAAAGTCAGTTTGAGATAAGACAAATTATCATGTGCATGTGATATATGAATTCATATTTCGTTTTAAACCAAAAGATCTCAGAAAAGTTATGATAAATACATTTTAAAAGTTACTTATGTACATGATGTTCATGTGAATTATTTTCAAATTCTCCTGTTATTTTGCTAAAAATAATACAACACAAGGACATTGAAAATGATGGATCTTTTTTATGTTTATAGGAGGTATGCTTATATTGATGAAGAATGTCTGGAGAGAATCAAGAGCTTTCTCCATGACCCCATTGCAATGGTACGAAAGCAAAAGAAAGTGATTGGATTTGGTGACCATTTCTTCAATAGCAATTTATATGAGGTATATTCTAGTTTCAGATTTATGTTTAAAACATTTTTCTATAAAGTTTTGAACCATATACCTGTATTGTGAGAAATTACATAATTTACCTTTAATGACATGCATTTGTCAAATTTGACTTTTGTCCTCTAATCAAAAATTGTTGACTTGTGTTTATGGATGGACTATACATATGTAGTGCGATACTCATTACAAACAGTTTGTGTGGAGTGGGGTGTATATATGAATGTTTGCTTGTTATTTTAGGAATTAATAAGAATTACATTCATTCATGAATCAAAATGTATTAGATTGCGTTTGATATAACAAATACAAAAACAAAGTAATGATAAAAATGTTCATGCACAATTTATTTTGTGAACATGTTTTTGGTTACTAATGTAGTTTACTCTATAGGAATTTGTGGATCTCGCCCAAATTGTCATGACAACAAGAAGAGGTTCAGTGTTGGCTAGTAGGTAAGTACAGTATTTTAAACGAATCCTGGCATGCTTAATATATATAAATGAAACAAACATATGGAAGGTACTGTGTTTGTTGTGCTATGTAGGTTTAGAGACTTTTATATGTGTGTTAAATGAGAGCTACTTTGTCTGTCAAAAAACTATAGAGGTTAAAACGTTAAAAATAATTATTTATTTATTTCTGTACTAAAAAAAGAAAGGAGGGTAGTAGTTTGTAGAATGAATTTGGGGGAGTTTCGCTTCTGTTTTTCATCCGAAAAACATCAAAACACTTTAAAACATTTTATTGACAATAAGATTGCACCATATAATCCCAAAAAATATTTTGCATTTTTAAGGATTAACTTTGGATTAACACCCAGGTTTTTCCATTTTTCAAACTTAAGAGCACTGGGAATCATTGTGCTTAATGCTTTCGAACAATATGAAATGATGTTTTAAATAGGTTTCATTCCTTAATCCCATAGAAATCCAATGGTACAGTTCCAAGCAGATTTTTAGATAGCAAAAAAGTAAATCAATAATACATATTTGGTAGTTTTTGTTTATATTGATATATATTTTGGTTTGGAAATTATTTTTCAGTCCTCCAATTCACAGAATTGATGGTGTAGTAGAGACTAACCCACTGATGCGGCTGTTGAATGAAAATCCATATGCATTGTGGTATGTAATATGATTGGCCTACATACATGACATACATATATTCTATATATTATTCTATATATACAAAGCAAGAGGTTCTTTCAGTAGATATCTTCGGAAGAAGTAAACAATAAACAATATTGACATCAATAGGATGAAACATTTGTATTCAAACATTGGTGAATTTTGAGTAATTTTAATGTCACCTTCACAAGAAATCATTTGTTTGGACTTGATGTAGATACCCACCCTGTATATAGCTATTCATAATATCATATTTAACCAGTGTGTGCTCCTTTAATATCTATAATCAGCATTTAACCACATCATGTCCCTTTAACATGATCATTATATTATTGCAATACGTATGCCAGAATCATCGTATCAGAGGCAGTATATTTATAGAAAAAACCTATTTATCATTGTAAAACGCTGAATTTGCAGTCTCAACTACGCCTCACTTTTCAAAGTGACATCATTTTTTAGTCCCTACCTCATAATTCTTGTCCAATAAGCTGCTCTTTTTGCCCTTCTTACTACCCTACGTAGCCCTAAAAATCTTGGTAATATCCCATTCTTAGTAACATTACATATTTTTCTCCCTTATCGTCCCCAAGATTGCGTATGACCATTTTGTTACTATATAAACAAGTGTATTTTGCGGATACCATGTAACAATTCCTGCACAGCTCGAGATCTATCATCTGCAAAACGCATTCACTCGACTATTTACCAAACTTTCGGCTAGAAGTAGAAGAACTTACGCTTGGAAGACAGTCAATGGACGTGATTTTTGACAACAAGAGGGGCGTGGGAGTTTGGGTAAGTTAACTACAGTACTGTATAGAAATCTATAAGCACTTATTAGAGAAGTGGAGAGATTTAAGACAGTAATTGAATTGTAATTGAACTTTGAGGAAACATTTTGAAACTTTCATTTTTCCCGCACATATTTTCTAACGGTGTTATCTGCAGTCTGTAAAAGTTGAACAAGATTGGGAGTTTGTCTCAATAAGCCCATATGCTGGGAAGGTTCAAGATAGTACAGAATACAGATTCACGTTATCAATTATAGGGAATTATTGATCAAATTAAATCATAGCTTTGGGGAAAGCAGACGACTTAGTCACGTGATCACATACGTCACTTTTGAAGTCTAGATTCATTCATAACTTGAGCATCTTTGTGGATTATTGTATCCTAGACAGCTTTTAACTTGAACTTGAATTTGATTGTAATTGAAAGAAGTCCTTACGGGCACATTCCATTGAGTTTGCACCTCTGGTGTTTAAAATAACATCCTTAGTCTTTGACAGTTGAAAGTTGACAGCTCTTTCCCATTCATCAAAATCTTGTTCGTTTGTTCACTTTTCATGCTATTAGTTCCCGACTGAATTTATAGAGGGCATAAAATTCAACTTTATTACAAGATCGTTGTTGGCAATTCTGTTCTGATTTGAAGTAGTATCCCGATCATAATTTTGAAGACATTTTATCAGACTGCAGATTTCAGCGCTATTGAGTTTAATTTCATTCTAATAGATTTAAAGACATTAAGCATTTATGTAAATTATAATCTATATAATTTAAATACTATTTATTCGCATTGTACATATATATTTCAGTTGCGACATAAAACGCAAGTATAATAGAATAGACTTTATTGAATGAATATATTTCTTGTGTGATTTAGTGGGTTTCTAGTCTGAAACACGGCATTTGATTGGCTATGGTGCCCTCCGAGTCATTCCGGAGTATACCGAACCTGGATAATCTGTTGTACGCAAACATTAGTTTCAAAATTGAGAATTGAGACTTGTTTTTCACGATAATCTTAGTTAAGCTTACTTCCACTAGGAACCGTTAGATATCGATCTAATGTTATACATCAATATAATTATTTAATGATAGATCAACGTCAGAGTAAGGAGAAATGTTATAAAAAGAAACAAAAAGTTCACGACCTTGAAGATCGGTGGTTGGTTAAATGTGAAAACTACTCTTAATTTGAGTATTTCTTTCATTAATTTCGGAGAATTTTGGTATAACATTAGTAAAGAATTGTGTGAAAAAGACCAAATGATAGATATTTATCGGGAGAATGCATAGAATTACAATATATGTCATTTTATCCCGTTTTAGCGTAAGCACTCTATTATTGCCCACTTCACTTTCACTTTTAATAACAAAATATGAGGAATGCAAAAAAAATTAGACGGGACTCACATTTTTCAAATGTGTTCCGTCCCTGGGACTCAGAAATTTAAATGGCTAGCGCGAACACTGCTAGTCCAATTTCCCTTTGTTCTGGCTCACGCTACCTATATTTCTATAATTCACTTCTGGGTTATTGGATGGTATTTTATATTGATAAATTATAGTGCAATTTGACAAGGGCTTGTTGTTTAACTGTCTAATGTTATGCATACATACATTAGTTTGAATAAAAATATATCAAATGCTCTATTTGCAGGAAAATTGATTTCCATCAATTTGTGTAATATAAGGAGATGTTGGTGAAAGGAGTGATGCTTCACCAAGGATTATGCTATAGCGAGGCAAACAAACTGTGCATGGAAACAAGTGTCATTATGTAGATACTATGCTGTATATACTTTAATAATTTAGCAAAATTATGGACACCAAAATACAAATTGTTTTAGATTATCATACTCCGAGCTATCAGAAAACTACCAGCTAAGACAATTAGATACGAGAGATTACCTATCACTTTCGACGTACTTGAGCAAATGAATGATCGGCCCGAGGTGGACTATTTGATAATTATACAAACATTCTACTTGAGGCGGCATAACCAGTGGCGTTCTTTGGGTTTTTGCGATGCAGTGAGTTTACTCAGACGAGTAAGTCAAGCCCGTTTGTACGCGTCAGGGACATAAAATTGGGAAAATCAAAAGCGGTCATTTACTTGCCAGAATCAAAAATGGACGTGTTTAGAAGAGGTGTTTCCATACCACTGTATGCTACAGATGCCTTGATCTGCCCCGTGAAAGCGGTTCAACGCTTCTGGAACCTAAGGAAGCGCATAGAACCTTTATCACCAGACGATCCATTCTTCCTGTGTCAGAACGGCGAAGCGCTTTCGAGAATGGTGTTTATAGCAAAGATGAGACACAATATAGCCTCAACGGGACGCGACCCTAAGCTTTTTAATGGACACTCATTTCGAATAGGTGCCTCTACTCAATCGTCAAAGGCTCTTGGTCGCTGGAAAGGAGACACCTACAGACGCTACATTAGGACACCAAATGTAGTTATCAAACAGGGACAATTAGTGTTAACAAGATCATGAATTTGACTTGACTACACGTCATACAGCCATTTAAACAAACATTTACATCCGTAAGACAACTTTACGGAACAGTGCGTGGGAATAACAGGTTTATAAACAAACGTTATAAACGTTTAAAAACGTTTATAAAGCCCGTTTCTACGCATCAGGGAGCAAAGTTTAGTAGGGATAATATTTATAGTGAAGCTTTCCATCCATCCAAAGACTTGTTGTGTTGAAATGGCAATGCATTATTCTGAATTACCATCAACTTTTAAATCAATAGGCCTTAATAAATTTAATCATGCGTTACACTTCATTTAACTTAGCTTAAACAAAACTCAAAACATTTTCTGAAAGTTTGAAGCATAAAGAAGAAAATATTAGTTTTAGTGTATTACCATGGGCTTTCAACTTGCTTTCTCTTGAAACCCCATGGTACTAAGTTTACACTACTAAGTGTTTTTTGATGAGGAAGAATCTGGTGTTACAGGTCGCGGTCACTGTGATGAAAGAAGTCATCGCAAGGCGTCGACCCCCTTAACATAGCACTCATAAATCTCCTTAATGTAATAAATATGACGGGAAGAGTAGCCTTAGTGACTACCTTTCCCAGTTTGAGACTATTGCATGATCGAGCAAAGGCATTGCAACTTGTGGGACAATTGCAGGGGACGGCACTGGCTGTTCTAACTGACCTCAGTCTTGAAGACCATTTCAATTATGAGGTTTTGATCGCTGCGCTAAAATATCGGTTTGAACCACCAGAACAGAATGAAACTTCAAGGGCTAAATTAAAGAATAAATTGAGAGGTGGGAAGGAAACTCTTGAGGAATTGGCCCAGGAAGTTAGAAAGTTATCGAGGGAGGCATTTCGGGGAATTCCCAGGGAAACCTTGGAATATTTTGCTATGACCTCATTCATTTATGCTCTGAATGATAAAGATCTAGAATGGCATGTCCAATCGTCTAATCCAAAGACTTTGAATGATGCTCTTACTGGCGCGTTGAAATACGAATCTTTTCAAAAAGGGCGTGCAAAACGCATGTCCCCCGAATTGAATGACAGTTCCACTCTGTTGGTCAATGCGAATTACGCGTTGAACAAGATGTCATATTCCCAAATGGAAACCAGGATGAAAGTTTTAGAGGAGACGTTGGAGAAATTGGGCGTGAACCGACCGTGCGGCCTCTGCAATTCTTTCGAACATTTTACAAAAAATTGCTTTAGGCGCCACCCAAAGTCCAAGAAATATGGCGCCTGTTGTTGTTGGCGCTGCGGTTCCGACGATCATTTCTTTCCACAGTTCCCTCAATCTTTGTCTCAGGGGACGGCCAGGGGTGATCAATCGGGAAACGGACAGTAGTCGGGATGGGGGGTCAGATTCCGACTAATGAACTAGAGAGACCCTATATATTTAATCATTTAACGGATAGTGACTATAATGGCTTGTATTTGCAACTGAGATTTGAGGACATTACTGTCCCAGCATTGATTGATACAGGTGCAACTATAAGTATACTTTCTGCTGATTCTGCCAAAATTTTAGGTCTTTTGGGGAAATGTGAAAAAGATGGCAGAAATGCAGATATCACTGTGGCAAATGGGGAGAAAGTGAATTGTCATGGAAAATTGGATCTAAATATCTATTTTGGACAAGGGATTAGGGTGACTCATGAATTTCTTGTGGCAAATATTCCGACTCCAGCTATTTTGGGGTATGATTTTCTGAAGAGTCAAAATGCAGTCCTTAACGTCAGGGATGCACTATTAACCATGCATGGCAAAGACTTCGATTGTATTTTAGAAACGGATTTGTCTACAAGTTCCCGGATTGTAATGCAACGTACGGTTAAGGTGCCTCCCATGACCGAAATGATTGTACCTGGGAAAGTAAGATGTCAACATTTGGGTGATACACCATTATTTATTGAAATGGGCGGGAAATTGGCAGATAGAGTAAAATATCCACCCCTGATTGTTGCCAAATCCTTGGTTGACCCAAGTCAACCTTTAATTCCCATTAGAGTAGCTAATCTTAGCTTTGGAACTGTTTTTCTCTACAAGAAAACTGCAGTAGCAACTGGTGTTTATTGTAGGGAAAATGTTGACGTTGACGGAGATACTGTTTTTGATACTGGTTTAAGGGTGGGGAATAATTCCCAGGTAAGTGAAGGGTGGCACGATGCCTCGGCCAGATCAAGGGATCACATTTCGTACAATAGAGGGCCCGTACCTAACAGCTCGGAATCGACACATGATATTACACCTAGGCCTGGACGTAACCCAGGTCTTACGGGGGTAGAGATTTGCCTAGCTGATCAAACGGTATATGATCCAAAATGTGATTTCCGGACTTGCCTTACCGCTGTAACTGCATCTAATCAGGTCCAGTCGGGGAAAATAGGTGAGGCGGGTGATGCAGTGAGTACATCCAAGAG